CTGAAGCCCTTTCCAGACTGAATTATTCTGTGATCCCTATGCCCTTGTTTTGTGAACGTTGTCCTGGAACAACCTGCATCCAGTCACCTCTCCCAGCATCTCCTGACCTCCCTTTCCCCTCTCTCTCCCCCATGCAAGAGTAGCACACTTGAAGGGCCAGTGCCACGCTGCCTAACGAGGGCAAGTATATGAGGAGAAAGAGCTTTAGTGCCTTCCCTGGAGAATTCCCCCTTTTGTTCAGACTTTAAGAGGTGACAGTTTTGTCCCAAATGGCCAGGATTCGAGACCTTTCTGAAGCAGGCAACGGGCAAGTGCAACCAGTCTGGGCTCTCCTGCAGGAGAAGAGAGTAGGCATTCTCCTGAGGTTCATCCTGTGCCAATGATTATCTTCCACTGAAGCACAGGCTTAATTTTAAGCACACAGGGAGCTTCAAAGCAGGGACACTTTCCCAACACCTCACTTTTACTGCAACGTCAATAAGAGACCAACATCTGAAACTCCTCGGGAGTCACTAGGTCATCTCATCAGCCGTCTATGAGACTGGCTGTGAAATCTTTAATATAGATCTATGAGACTGGCTGTGAAATCTTTAATAGATCATAGAATCACAGAATCCTTTGGGTTGGAAAGGACTTTAAAGGGCATCTAGTCCAACCCCCCCTGCCATAACCAGGGACATCAGGTTGCTCAGAGCCCCATCCAACCTGGCCTTGAACACCTCCAGAGATTGGGCAGCCACCACATCCCTGGGCAACCTGGGCCAGGCTCTCACCACCCTCACTGTGAAAAATTTCTTCCTCATATGCAGTCTGATCTATACTCCTTTAGTTTAAAACCATTACCCCTTGTCCTATCACAACAGGGTCTACTAAAAAGTCTGTCCCCATCTTTCTTATAAGTCCCCTTTTAGGGACTGGAAGGGGCTCCAAGGTCTCCCTGGAGCCTTCTCTTCTCCAGGCTGAACCCCCCACAACTCTCTCAGCCCCCCCTCCCAGCATCTCCATGGCCTCCTCTGGCCCCACTCCAACAGGTCCATGTCTCTCCTGTGCTGAGATCAGTTGGCCAGGGTGGCATCTACCTGCAGAATCAGCATCTCATCACACCATCCAAGTGGAACAATAGCAGGAGAGTTTCTGGGTGGTCCCTCCTATAGGACACAGTAACCGATAGGAGGAAAAGCTGCCAAGCTTTGGGAAAGCACAGACCCTGCAGGAAGCTGTTGAAGGCTCTGTGGTGAATACACATGCCAGCTGAAATTTATGTCCTGGGTGGATGGGATTTATTACAGCAGTGGTACTGATTAGGTTCAGAGAAAGACAGTGGTGCAACTCACACGCCTCCTTCCCGGAGGAGGGGAAGGACCAACACACCGCATTCAACGACCAGCATCCCAGGGAAAGCAGGCACATTTCTCCAGGGCAGAGGGATAAGGGACTTGAAGGGAATGAAAAGGTATGAAGCACACCTTGGATCACGGCTCTTCACCCTCCTCTTCACAGTCTGTCCCCAGATCTGTTTCAGTCCTCAGCAATGTCCCACAAGGTCTGCACATGAGTTAGGGCTTCCACAGCCTACTCCATCACCAGTAATAAACCATCTCTCTGTAGAGGTGAAGAGGTTGTTGTAGGGACTTGCTGGTGGCAAAGTTAACAGATCATGCAGAGCCAGGGCACTGGAATACCCTCCTGTTCCTGTGCTGTGCCACCCTACCTGGCTTCTGCAGAGACAAAGGCCAAGTTGCAGACACATCAGAGCCAACCACAAGCCAGACCACTCTCAGCATCCAGTCACCCTTGGTTTTTGATGTGTGTTCCTCTCCGTTCTGGTGTTCCTTGTCTGAAATAGTGATGAATTTGGACCTGCCTGATGTTCAGAGTTTCCCAGGACTCAGCTCTCCTTCTGCAGTAGGGTCTTCCTCTGTCCTTTCCCAGAATCTAGCTCTCCTTCTGCCCTGGAGCCCTCCACACTAGGAACATCACATTGTATTGTTTACCTTACCTGTGATGTGCCTGCTCATATTGCCAGCTACATGCTGGTCCAAGCTGGACCACCCTCTTAATGTACCTGCCCCATACCCAGCCAGCCAAGCCCGTGCCACAGAGCTCACAAAGCAAGAGGAACATCACCAGCAGTCACCAAAGCTTCTTCTAACCCATCCAGCTGCATCCATCCTGGCCCTGTGATGCTCAACGCGTTACTTTCTGGAGCTATTTGTTCATCCTGCACCCTGTGCTTCATGTCCTTCCTTCCAACAAGCTGTCACTCTCAGGCTGCCTCCGAAACAAGGCTGTGAAGCAAGAGGAACCCAGCTTTGCCCTCCTTCTGCTTTGACATTTAGTTGACTTGTTTGCCCTTAGCATCCCATCATGTGACGAGGAGCAATGTATAGCCTGTCATCAGAGGGAGAGGGGAGATCCTTCAATACCCTCCTCTTCCCTTTCGCTCCCACTGAAAGCCACCCATGTGGATTTTAAGACTCATTTCCCTTCAGCTCTGCAAGCTATCAGTCGCCTATGCCCATATGAACATTGTTCTCTCTCTCAAAGAGGGGAATAATTGAAAGCCAGAAAAGGGAGGAAAAAAAAAAAAAAAAGAAAGAAAGAAAGACTGAAGGGAGAACTACACAGTCTCAAAGGGATTCACTCGAAAACAGGCATCCCCCTCCAGGGCTTGGACTCCGTCCCAGACACGAGAGTGGGGACTGGAAGCCTACCACCCAACAGGATGGTGGCCTGGGTTTTGGAGCACCCTATGAGGGACACCACGACTCTTGGACTGATGGGCTTTGTTCTGAGATCCCAGGCTGCATCCCGAGGCATCGAGGGAAGGGGGAAAGAGACAGGGTGCTGGCAAAGCAACCAGATTTTAAAACCAGGGGAAGCAAAAGAAGTGGGAAGCTCTGCGTTGCCTGGTGTAGGAGGCTCAAAGAGTCCCTATCAAAGACTATGCAGCCACAACCTCAGATGTTCATTAACATATTCTGCTAAATCATCAGCATATGCTAACTGCCAGTAAAAGCACACAACGTGCTACGCACCAGGAAAACAGCTGCTTCTTTTGCCTAATCTTCCTCCAAGCCCAGAGATACAGCAACGATGTTGGGATATCTGTAGGATCTCCCTCCCCAGGGGAGTTTGCCCTGTTTCATCCCTTCATTTTCTACTTCCTCCATTGAATGACCAACAGTTTGTGCCTGACTTGGAAGTCCTTCTTCAACCCTAGGTGGACATTTGTGGAGCTCCCACAATAGACACAACCTGTTTCTACCTGTTCCTGCTTGTGGCAATCTCCACACCCATTGTCCAGGCAGGAGTTTCTGCTACAACCAAAGTGGTGAGCAAAATCTGGTAAGAACCACACTTGGTGGTGGTGGAGCACCATGCCTGTGTCCTGGGTGGCCACACAAGACTCCCCTCACCCAGAGGATGCTACCCATCCAGAAGGCAGGGGCTGGTACTCACCCAGAACATCACCCCTTATCTTCTAAGACTTAGAAAGTGGGATTTGCCTCGTCTGCTTTTAAGGGAAGGATGTAATTGTCTAAATAGTGCCATAGTGACATGTTGGGGTGTTTGCAACTTCTCCATGGGACTGTAAATATGGCTTAAGACCAAAGGAGGCCACTGCCTTTCCAGAGCCATAGCTGAAGGTCAGGAGGGATAAGGCACTTGGATACCCTGAAGGGCTCTTAGATTCCTTGTTTTGGCAACTGAACGAGGTCTATGGGGTAACATTTTTTCTGCCAGTGACACTGGCCTCACCCTAAAGTCAGAGGAGGGAAATCAGCACTTTTAGAGTGTGATTAATTAGTCTTATTTCCAAACATTGACATTAAGATGAGACAAATCATATTATCTACTCTATGATTCCACCAACTCAAACTCTGAAAGGGAGTGGGGCTCCTCATCATTACTGATGGAAAGGTCTCTATTCCACATGTTTTCCTTTCCTCCAACAAATACCAACCCCAACTCCTCAAACCACGTCCTTAAGGAGAACCCCTTTTTTCATTAATTTCTGCTTCATCCTACACAACACACAGCTTCTTGCTCAGGACAGGTTTAATTTCCAGAGGTCATGGGCAGATGGTGACCAGCATGACATTCAAATTTTCTCCACCCCAATCAACACCTTCTTTACAAACCTCCATAAATACCAACCCCAACTCCTCAAACCACGTCCTTAAGGAGAACCCCTTTTTTCATTAATTTCTGCTTCATCCTACACAACACACAGCTTCTTGCTCAGGACAGGTTTAATATCCAGAGGACATGGGCAGACGGTGACCAGCATGGCATTCAAATTTTCTCCACCCCAATCAACATCTTCTTTACAAACCTCTACAGAAATCTACTTTTGGTTTACTATGGTCCCAAATATCATAATTCATTTTAGGATGAAGAAAATGTGGGGTTTTCAGGATTGTGACTGGGAAAGGATAGGACAAGGGGAAGCTTAAAACATTGTTTCTTTGGTTTTTTTTGTTTCTGTCACCAGAAACTCTGAATTTAGGTCATCATGAGCCCCAGCTGAAAACATGTTTGCAACCTGAGGACTTCTTGAGCAGAGGGAGCAGCTCATGTAACCTGGTTCATCTGGCATTTCACCACGGCTGAAGTCAATGGTTGGCATATCTGGTGCTCAGACAGAAAAGCCTCTTGCCAGGAATGCACATGAAGAGATTTTTTGTTCCTTGTAATAAAAATTTAAAAAAAAATAAAAAAAAATCCAAACCTCTGAAACTTCTCAAATGTCAGCTCCACGGTAGAGGCTGCTGTACCACCATAAAACAGAGCAGCTTCTCAGGAGACAGAAAACAATTAAAAGAGAGAGAACTACATTTTACTATCTCCCACCAAAGGAAAATAATCTCAGCCTACAACAGATTTGTTTTGGCAAACTGTAGCACAAGAGGAAAAAGAAAAGAAAGAGAAATGGGATAACATACAGAGAAGTCTTAAGTGTTTCTGAACAATTCTGCTTTCATCTTAGCCCCTACCTTCATGATGCTGGAAACCTGGAGTGCATCCCCCTCTCTCTTCTCCTCTCCGGATTGAGGAGTCCCAGGCTTTTTTAGTCTCTCTTCATGGAGAAATGCATCCATCCTCTTGAGCACTGTAGCTCTCTATTCTTTTTCTTGCTCCACTGCATGTAGGTGTGCTCTGGTCCACCTGTAGAGACCAGAATTGTGTACTGTAGCAATGGCAGGACATCTCATAGCAGTAAATGAGGACATATAGTCCACCTTCTATCTCATATCCCCCCCTCTTCTGTCTACCATGGTCATGAAAACCTCCAATTACAGAAGTTTCTCTGTTTTCCCAGCTTCATATCAGTTTAAGGTTCACCTCTTTATTGCTGTGAAGTGTTTCCTAGAGTCTGCCAGATGTCCTCTCTACTGCAGCTTTGGACCATCACTTACCAGGAGACATGAGTAACAATTCATTCCTTCAATCTCTGCAGCTGCCTCAGAGGTGTTTGAAGACCGTTTACACATCTTGTTCTTATGTCATACTTTCTATACAAACCAGCCCTTCAGCTTTTACTCCTGCTTCAAGTTTTCTCTTCTTTGGGATCTTCCCTGGAGCAGGATGTTTCACAGCTTTGCAGCCCTGCAGATTCTATGTATTGCCATATATTCCATCTCCTGGTCCTTCATCGCTTTTTACAGATAGCGGCTACTTGGATGTGTCAAGACGAGCAGCACAATGACAACTGCAAGGTCTAAGGTGACCACAGATTTGTTACAATAATCACTGGTTCAATCACCATTTGTAGGATCCTTGAATTACTTGATGGCTGCTGTCATCAGCTCCCCTCGTCTTCCCAGGGCTCTTCAAAGAGGACACAAGTGCTAAGCTCTGCATGTAAATAAAGGTCTGGGCACATAGTGTCTGTAATAAATATCAACCATTACAAATGATCCCTTGTGTGAAACAGATAAATACATATACCCAGCCAAGCAAAGATAGACTATTTGGAAGACTGAATCTCTGTCTCCGCGGACAAACTGACAGACAGTACATCAAAACCTCTACCCCTTCATCTGTTATTCATAAAATAATTTATGAGAACAAGACTCTCGTCTACAACGTGCTTTTTCATTGCCACTTCATGAGAAGTATTCAGCATTTGACCTGTTTTGACTGGCATGATTGACCCCATCCTACCAACCCAGCTCTTGCAATAAGCGAGCAGTAATATTTAAACTCTGATGGGATCGTAATGGTTGTCCATTAAACCTTAGCAACCAGTTAAGGATCTGACCTGCCAGTATTGTAAAGAAACGGCAGGAAAATATTTGTATTTTAATTCTTTTTATCGCCCTATGTTCTGATTGATGCATTTTGAGAGTGTCTTCTACCGCGTCGTGACCTCTGTTTAGTCAGAAACTGAGAAGAAAAGATTCAGTAGCACATTTCTTCATAATGAATAGTATCTTTTTCCCTGTGGTGACCCGCTGAAGTTAGTGTTCTGGAGGGAAAACATCAGAACCTGGTGCAAAACAGCTATACAATCTGTTTTACTCCCACTGAACCATATTCAACCCAGATGAAAGGCAGCGACATTATTTCAGAGATGCATGAGTTCTCAGAGAACAGTCCAGGCTCTGCATAAGAGTTGAAGACCTGGCCGGGCAACATCTGTAATGTAGAACAGCTGCTCTAAAAAAAATGTTTTGCTTGAAAGAAAGTGACGGAGCAAAGAGTGAATGCATTGAGCAGAGCCCGACTTGAAGTTGCTGCCTTCGTCTACGCAGGAGCCAAAAATCTTTCAAAATCGCTCTTGATGGGGAAACCACTGAACATTTTCACTCATTCATAAACCCAACAAATTTCTCTGGGGCTTGGGACCCACTGAGAAACGGCTTCTCCTGTTCCAAGCACTGACTTCATTCTCTACAGGCAATTATAGTAATACGGCAGTTAAAAAAAATACAGATCAATCAAGTTTGAATAAAAGTATGTTAGTCCCGCTACGGTACACATCCAGGCTGTTCTGAACAGACCCAGAAATCAGCACATTTTCCCCTAATTCTTTGGCCCCCATGCCATGCCATTGCCATCACAGGATTGAAAAATTAATAATGGACAGGTAGGTATCTCTAGGGCACATTCTCCATATCCATTTGGACAAAAAAAACCTCAACAAAAAGCAACTAAAAAAATATAATTTTTAAAATACCCACATAAGCAACATAATTTTCATAGAATCATAGAATGGTTTGGGTTGGAAGAGACCTTAAAGTCTCCACCAGTGCCACCCCCTGCCCTGGGCAGGGACACCTCCCACCACACCACGTTGCTCCAAGCCCCCTCCAACCTGCCCTTGAACCCCTCCAGGGATGGGGCAGCCACAGCTTCTCTGGCCAACCTGGGCCAGGCTCTCACCACCCTCACACCAAAGAAGTTCTTCCCCACAGCTCAGCTCCGTCTCCCGTCTTTCAGTTTAGAATCATTCCTCCTCAAGTTCTTCCCCACATCTCATCTCAGTCTCCCATCTTTCAGTTTAGAATCATTCCTCCTCCTCCTCTGGCTCCCCTCCCTCATCCAGAGTCCCTCCCCAGCTTTCCTGGAGCCCCTTGAGGGACTGGAAGGGGCTCCAAGGTCTCCCTGGAGCCTTCTCTTCTCCAGGCTGAACCCCTCCAACTCTCTCAGCCTGTCCTCACAGCAGAGGGGCTCCAGATCCTTGGAGCATCTTTGTGGCCTCCTCTGGACCCACTGTTGCCAAAACAACTTCTCCAATCCATAGGTTCCCTGCATCCTGCATCCATGGGCAAAGAAACTCCTCAGGAGGGATCATGACATACAGAACTGGCACTGGGAGACCCATTGAACCGTCATTTTTGACATATGGGGAGGACCCCTCACTCTCTCTCCATGTGGGTTTGTTTGTGCTTTGGGTTTGCTTTTTTTTTCTAGGGTCAATAGGATGGAGGAATTTAAGCCATCCAGGCAGTCACAGCTTCATGGGGCTGTAAAATGATGAAGTCTGCAAGGCAGAAACGGGAGGGATTTAGTGCTCAAGCCTCTCAACAGGCTGAGACCACAACAGAGACGTTATCCCGGACAGAGGAGAAAGCAGTGGGTAAGTTGCTCCCAGGCACAACCATGAAGCAGCAAGCTCCAGGATTGCATCTGACAGGTCCGTCCATTCTCCCTCCCAGAATCAGCTTTTTGTACACATTTTCCAAACCAAAACGGACATAAAAACTGGAAGAACACAACTTTCATGAGACCTCAGTAGCTGAGTGCTTCTCCAAGTTGATCTTGGTCACCTCACACCTCTCACCTGGCTGTTGGATCAGGCCTTGGTTTAGTCAGAGGAAGGACCAGAGCAGAAAATGCAACCACAACCCGGTTCCTTGGTGCCACACACACATCAGCTGTGTCTGGAAAAACAAAGAAAGCAAGGCATGAGCTTGAATTCTTTCTCTGATACCTCTGTACTGCTTAACTGGCCACCCTCAGACCCCAAATTATATTATATTATATATTATATATATAGCAGAATTGTCTGCTGTAATGATAGAATTAAAATCTTAAAAATCTAAATAAAAGAACAAAACCACACCAATAAAACCATACCATGGGCATGCTTTTTTTTTTTTTTTTTTTTTGTAAAAAGAATATTAACAATTCAGTAGTATTGATCATCACAGCTCAAGAGTGGAGCCCGTGGGTTTTTGCTACCACCGGGGCAGCTTTGAAGAGGCAAACACCAAGCAGAGCTTCCCACTTTGAAAACCAGCAGGAAAGAAGCCCCAGGAGACAGGAAACGAGATGTGTTTGTAATAAAGGCAGCAGAAAAAAGAGCAGCAGAGCCATTTCAATCTCCTTTCCACCCTGAACATCCCTGCTCTCCCATGGTCAGCAATCACAGCAGCCAGGAGGAGTTTTGCAACTTTCCCACTCGGTGAAGCAGGACCAGGGAGGCATTTTATGGAAATCTCCTGACTTTCCCATTGTGCCTCTCCATCACCCGTGTTCAACAGGTCGTTGGAGAGAAATAATCCACGGAAATGGCTGCTGCCCACTCTCTAAATGGATCAAGATAATAAATAATGCACATTGATTTCTGGTGTTGTTTTGGCTTTTATTGCATCATCTATTAAAAATAGCTTGTCTCTGTATTGGATTTGTCCCTTCAGATATCCCCCACGATTAGCTGTTTGGACTGTGAATTTATACCCCGTGGCAGAATCACTGTCTGGAGAGAAAATAGACAGGTAAAAAATACTTACTCACGAAGTACAATGATGTATTAAAAAATATTGTAAGCTGACACAAATACCTTCTGTAGGTGGTAGTCAAACTTGAGCTGTGGGGTTTGGTGTTTTACTGCATGATCCACGGTGCAAGAAAAAGACTGTGAGAGCAATGAATCTTGCACCCTTGGCTCTGGGTGGGGTTAACTCTTTATCCACCTTTCTTATGCCTTCATTTATAGATGCTGAGGTTCAAAAAGCAGAGTGATCTTTCCCTCACTGACACAGGACTGAATTCAGCCACCGTGATTCCTCACGCCAGAGTCATTTAGCAAAAGTGTGAAGCACGTCCCTGTTAAAGCAGGGGAGGGAGGCTGCTGTGTCAGCACGTCTTAGAAAGGTCTAGTTTAATTATCAAACAGGTTCCTGGAGAGGAGGTGATGACATGCTCATCCAGAGCTCAAACTGAGATGTTTCTACTAGGGAAAAAACACAGAAGGAAAAATATCCCAGAGCATCCTTTCCAGTTCATTAAATCCATAGCAAAGAAATAAAACGTTGGTACGATCCTGCCCACTGTCCCCAAGTCCTGTTTTGAGACAACTTGGAGGGTCATCAGCAGACCTGTGCTCTCATTTAATGCACCGAAAGCACCCCAAAAAAAACAGTGTTTGGCTCTGTCCCAATTCCCACCCGGTGGCACCGCTGAAGGGGTGGGGATGAGTGTAGAGAGAAAACCCAGAGTGCTGTGACCACAGAAGACATCTGGAGGGCTGCCATCAGCCTGTCCCCATCTGCTGGTGGCTGATAGTGGAGATCCCAGCACTCCCGCTGCTGGAGACACCCTTGGGGGCATTCTGATGAGCTCTCAAATTGTTTTCTTCCCCTCCAATTAATTAAACAGCTATCTATGGCATCCAGAGCAGCAACATTTTTAATCTAGCATGTCAAGGCAGCCATCTGTCCTTCCTCCCCGAAGCTATTGGAACTTGTCCTGTTACAGATAGGGTAATGCAATCACGGGGAGACACTATCAAATGGATAAACACGTTGCTGCTGTGTGTTTGGCTCTTCCCTCCCTCCTTTCTACTCTCTCAGTCCCTTCTGCCATTCTGTAATTGCTTTCCCAGGTTTTTCCCTTTCTTTCCCCTTCCCTTCCCTTCCCTTCCCTTCCCTTCCCTCTTCCCTCTTCCCTCTTCCCTCTTCCCTCTTCCCTCTTCCTTCTTCTTCCCTCTTCCCTCCCTCCTTTCCTTTCCTTTTTCTCCTCTTCTCTTCACTTTGCTTCACTTCTCTCTCTCTCTTTTCCTCCTTTTTATTCACTTTTTTTCCCCACTTCATTCAGGCATTTCAGCCCACTCCCTTGTAGTTCCAATTGGGAAGTTGGCACTTCCCAATTCTCCTCCATGGCCAACGCTCATCTCTGCACTCCCAACACCTATTTTCCCTGCTCAGCTTCTCTGGGCAATTTCTTTCCCATCTTCCAGGGGTTCCTCCACTCTCTGGGGAGAGGGGGTGAGTGTCACTATATGGAGCAAAGCAGAAAGCACGATAACCTGGCTCTCCATTGCCTACAGGAAGGGTCCAGATGCCCCTATTCCATCTCCTGCTGCAGAAACTCCTGTACGATGGTGGTTTTTTGTTTCAGCTGAAGACCAAGACTAAATAAAATTAGGAGTATTCAGGTTCCTGTCATGGTTCATTTCTCTCCCTGTCCATCTCATCTCAGGTGCTCGAAGGGCTGATGATTGACTGCATGAGTTATGCAGTCAGAAAGACTGATGTTCCCACATCACGTCCTGCTATCCCCAGCACAAGCCTAAAGGTAGTTCTCCCAAAGACCTAATTTTTGGCATCGCTGACTGCACGACTACGTGAACGCTTGATTTTCTTACATCAAAGTCTGCTGTCACTTTTAAGGGTATTTTTCATCCTCATGCTAAAATGCTTAAAATCAGGTATCCTACACGAGCAATATCCATCAGATAGACTAAGAACACCATTCATGTATGTAATTAAGTACATAAGTCCCAGTAGGGACAGGACCACCAGCAGTGGGGTCCTGGGCTCCCCACGTGAGATGAAATGGTCAGTACAATGAAAGCTTTAACAAAAACCAAAACGTGGCCTGAGTTAAGCCAATCAAATATTTTTTTTTTTTCAGCCCTGGAAAGAGAAGAGATTCTGAGAAATTAAAAGGATGTTTCAATGAAGCTTTTCCTTTGGGCAAATTCCTCCACGTCCTGACCTTTTCCTTAAACACATTTTAACCAATTTGCAGCTTCTGATGTAAAATTCTGCCTGGAATTTCCCCCTGCAGGTCTAATGGAGATAGACAAACTCCATCCTACTGGTGGAAAAGCAGTAACATCCCCCTCCATTTTATACATTAAAAATACAGAAAAAGGGAGATTAAATCTGTGTTTACTTTGCCTGTTAAGACTAGTCTTGATTTTGAAGCGGGGAGCATATGGACCCACTGCTGTAGGTTCCTACTCCAATGGGTGTCTGGGCTGGTAACAATGGTAAAACCCTGTCCCATGCCTGGAAACTTCTCCTGAATGTTCCAGCCTCCAAGAAAAAAAACCCCATCTGCATGACGGATAGACCCAAAATAGCCTTTACCTCTCCAGCCTGGCTTTAATCATAAATTCATAGAATCATTTAAGTTGGGAGAGATCTTTAAGATCATTGAGTCCAACCATTGAGTTGTAGAGACCGAGAAGGTCTCCCCTCAGCCTCCTTTTCTCCAGGCTGAACACCCCCAGATCCCTCAGCTGCTCCTCACAAGTTCTCCAGACCCTTCTCCTTGGTCTCCAGACCCCTCACCAGCTCCGTTGGCCTTCTCTGGACACGCTCCAGCCCCTCAATGTCTTTCTTGTTGTGACGAGCCCAAAACTGGACAAAGCCCTCGAGGTGGGGAGCTGAAATGTTTTGGGGTCAGACTGAGCAAGGCACTCAAGCCTGAATTTAAGGTTTTAACAATTTGGAATGAGGGGAAGGCAATTTCAACATGTGTTTCAGAGGGGGTTAGTGTTCCCCCGCCCTTATGCTATCAACTTTCCCAGCTACTGCAACAGTAAAAATCATATCCAGACTGCAGAGGAAATCATGCTGGTCTTTGTATGCCGGACCTTAATTCACACGAAGTGTGAAGCTAGGTGCAGAAAGATGGTCATGAACTGAGTTTCTCAGGAAGCAAAGAAAATACTTCTGGGGATAAAAAAAATGATAATGGGAAAAGAAAGGAGAGAAAGTTCTATCAGGAAGGAAAGGGGGAGACCAGGAGATGGAAAGTGAAACACGATCAATTAAAATTTCCCCTGAGAGCCCCAACCGCTCTTTCCCTGGAGTAGAAATTGGAGCTAGGGGCTGCCTTTTAGCTTGCAAGCCTTGGCTTTCCTTCAGCTCCCTCTATGCAGCCCTTGTCCGATTTATTGCACTTGTGGAACTGATTAGTCCATAGAGGAACAACCGTCTTGAAAAGGGTTATTTGAAACTCCAGCAATAATCACCTTATTCTGAATTCCTCTATGACTCCGAGAGGGCAATTGCAGGTCTCAGCACAGGGAAGGAGCATTTTATACACTAATAGCATCAACACAAAGCAGTCTCACCAGGTGATAGGGTTCAGTGGATTGGGCACATGGAAGAAAAGAGGTGAGCCATTTTACTAGCAATAAGAGTGGAGGGATGATAAGTACTTCTGGAGCTCTAAAAACCTAACACGGTGCTTCTGCTAAAAGGTGACACTGCACATGGACCATCACGTGGGAGCTGCAAATCCCAAGTGTCACAAAAGGCACCCCCCTTCCTTCCTTGTGAAAAGTCCTGGTCCTGGAAACCCTGGGCGTGAGGAGGGTGAAAGAAATAGAGATGACCCAGATGACCTGGAAGGCTCCAGCAGAGATGATCTTTCATGGTCCATGAGCAGCTCTGAACAGAGCACCTCCCAGCCAGTTTTAGCTCTGGGGCTGACAAAGAGACTACATGTGGCCACCCAACTTGGCCTGACAATATGGATTATTGTCTAAGGCAAGGGGGGGCCATTCTGGTCACCTCCTGTCCACATCTGCTGGGTCCTGACTCTCTACATCATTTCAGAAAATAGCTAAACCCATGAAAAAGGAAGCTACAACAGATGATTCATATGTAGCCTGGCTCTTTAGTTGTCCTGATGTGAACAC